AATTTTGGAAATGATTATGCATACAATGGACTCAGGACAAGGTGCATTCATCTAAGTCTTCCTACCAATATGACCAAGTTGTGAAAACAACTTCTATTCAACGAAAGGAGACTGCGAGCACACAAAAGGCCACACCATCTTGGTCTTCATATCTTCGATGACGGACTAAAGTTCATTGCAGAGTCGTTGGATTCGTGAGACGGTGAGCCGAGTTCTTTTTCGCACAATTCAGCAACCATAAGTCCATATAAATCTTTATTTGGTGTCCGGTTGGGCCAATCAATCTTTTCAGTGGCTCTTCGAAACCCAGCCTTTCTTCAGATAGTCCGTCATTACGCTCACGGCGAAAATGGTGCCTTGTCTTGTTTTGTATATTACTCTGCTGTACTTGTACGACTGGGCGTAAATAGGGCATGCGACTGTCTTTCACAACTGACTAGCGAAGAATTGGTTCGTTTTCATTTTCACGTGTTTGTTATAGACTGGTCATTACATTTTTCAACGTCGGACCGTGAAATCGGAATATTCCTTAGATTCGCTATTGAAAATTAACTTGACCACCATGGCAAAGTAATCCGGATTGGGTGTATTCATCGAGTTCGACTCAACAAGGGAACCAAATTTTAAAAAAACTGGGAAAAACTACGTCTATCTAGCTAAAAGAGACCAGGAAGAAAATCTCGGCCATATCATCTTGGTCTTCATACCTTCGACTGATACTGGCATCCTTTCAAAGGGCAGACTCGGTGACTTGCACAACCCAACATCAGTTATGACCTCTAATTCGTGCCCACTAAGTGGCTTGGAGCCTCGGTGATACGGAACTCCAGTGAGACGTCCCAAATCCTGTATCATCCTGAGCCCTAATAGTCTAACCCCAGCCAAATTTGTCTAGCCTATCAACAAGTAAAAATGGCTAGACTCATTTCTACGCAAGCGCTAGAACATATTCTAGACTTTTTCAGTCGACTGGCCAAATTGTACATGATACTGAGGCTAAGAGCGAAACAAGGCGATCGCATACCAGTTCTCCAGTTGGTCTCGAGGATGCGAGGCCGCCGGCCCGGCCAGATCGCCCATCTCACGGCCATCCGAGCCCCGGGGTCTGTGTTCAGGGGCGCTGGCAAGTGTCGCCTCCATCGCCAACTGGCTCCAGGTATTTTCATGCCGCCGCCTCCATTCGCAGAGCACTCTGAAGGCGATCTCTGCCCTGGCCTCAGGCGACAGAGCTCTGGGCACAGCTTCATTCGAGTCTACCACATCCAGATCGAGCGCCTCGGTCTCCGTCTCGGAGATGGTCATCAGGTTGGCCTGTTGTGCCTCCAGCCAGACTGGCATCAGTCGTAGCGATGGCGACTCCGATAGACGACTTGGTGTCAAGGTGGTCGGCGAGCTGACACTGAGTCGATCGGTGCCCAGTCCAGAAGTTATGGCCGTGGTCGTGGTAGTTGTTGTTGTTGTTGTTGTGGTGGTGGTGGTAGGGGCGTCGAGTTGGTCGCCGGACAATTCGATGTGTGGCGAGACGGGCATCTGTAGTTCGAAGGCCAATTGCAATGGGTCGTCGACGAGTTGGGCGATGGCATACAGCGACTGATCGCCGATGAGGGGAGGCCAGCAGGCCACTGTCTCTACAGCAGAGCCGACTGGCCGGCTAGGTAGGTCAGTGTCAGAGGGGACTGGAGTGACACACACGCACACGAACAAACACAGTGACAGGTAATACTCGCAAGTGAGAAAGGGCTGTACATTCGTTAACCTAATGATGCATATAGAAAAAATATGCCCTTTAAAGAATCCTCTGATATTCTTAGTGTGTAAGCGAAATGCATACAGGCAGGTCTCGATTGATACAGGTTAATTAGTGTGAAATTCGATTCAGTACGATTTATAAATTCACACCAGGTTGCATGTAATACGAGCCCAAATGGACTTTGTAGTTATCGAGATTACTGGAGAGTGGAGCAGATGCATCAGTTATCGTTGGGCCGATGTTCTTTATGCACGTGCTGGGGTTTGTGGTGCTATCCACTTTTATACACGCATTTTACAGATTATTCAATATACCATTAATAGATATGGCCAAAGGGAAGCATGTCAAAGTGGATATTGGAGATGAAAAACGGAACCTATTTGTGAGTAGATTATAACAAAAATTTGATGCAACATAAAGACACAAATGTGATGATAATACATCTACAATTGGCAGATATATTGGGACGCATGAAGCAATTATAGACGCAGACGAAATAAGGGAAAATGATGGAGTAACATTATCTAGTTGTGGCCTGAAAGCCACCTCTAGGACTATACGTAGTACACTAATAAACTTGTGTGATAATGCAAAAGTAATACTTTTGCCAACAAATAGGTTATCTTTATTTCAGCTCATAGACGGCGGAATGATTGCAACATTTAAAGAACATTACTTAATAAGAACTTTTGCCCCGGAGATTGCTCAAGCAGCAGGTGAAGATGCTTTCTGTCTCACTTTGCTTATAATAAACCATCGGTTTTTAATACTTTTTGATTATCCTTTGCTATTGAAACATGTGAAAAAGCGGAGAAAATATTTGGTGATTTAAAAATTATAATCAAGCTTTTTAATAGGATGAAACCAATTAATAAACTTTATAAGTGAGTATTTCTTTGACTAGTACTATATTTCCCCGGGATACATTAATAGTACAAATAGGCACCAGACAAGAGTTCTCTCGTGAACCATGACTTAATGCGTCTGAGTGTAAACGTGAAAAAAATTACGGAATCGATCTTTAACCTAAGGTGGCCGACATGACAACTAAAATGACATTTCAGAATGGCAGGCATTAGTGGGGAGGATGGGCAACCAACTTAACAATGTATCATGAAGGCTGGAATGGTGAAAAATGTGTGTACAACTCGTGGGATTAAGAAAAAGGGCGAGTTCTATTGAATGTAGGGCTGACTTGAAATGGATACTTACACATGACAGTTGTTCAGTTGGTCTCAAGTCGTGCCTTCATCGGAAGGTGTGGCTGAAACTGAATGGTGTATGTGGGTGTATCTAAGGCGCAGAGACGTCTAAATGGCGTAAGATAATATAATGCTGACCGAGTTATATGGTCACTGCAGTCCCCTCATTTAGTATGAGACATTGACTCATCTATAGCCAGAGGAGTCTTCCAAACTCGATACATCAATTCTGAAATTTCGTCTGTCTAACTGTGACTAGCACCTTTAGCACTTATAGACAGTCTTTGTCTACATGCCTCAAACGTAGAGTCAAGAAAGGAGGGCAACAGCAGTGCTACTTACTTCTCTCTATTCGGTTTTACAATATAGAATGATCAGATGACCGCAAAATTACGCTATAAAAAGTGGACAGAATTGAAACTGATCACAATTTTGGATCCATTTGTGAGTGTGGCAGTGATGCGAGGCAGAGCATACTGTCAGCCAAGATAATAAGGCCTTTAGGGAGGCAAGTCATCGTAAAATTCAATGACACTTTGATGGCCCATTCTTTTCGTTATGCTAAATTGCAACTATCAATCCTAGTGTACGTATGCCAAATTTGTTCGAAACTTAGCTATTTTGTGAATTTTGTTGACGGAGAATTATTAGGTCTGGCGATGTGTGTTACAGAGGGACAGACGATTGAATCGGAACCTAGGAAGCCTAGGTATAACGCAAAAGTATTTAATTTGGTTTCAAGACTACCAGTAGATCGTATACACCCTATTTCGTTTAAAGCGACGAAGGAATGGTAGCTGAAATTTTATACAATGAAATGAATGGGAAACGAATACTCCTCATATATATGATCGACCAGTAATCTCGAAAAGTACTTATAAATGAATATAATAGAAATTATATATGTTTGTGTTGTCAACACTTCTTCTTTGAACCGTAAGTCTTCCCTGTGGCCCAGGAGAACTCATGGCGGTATGGTGTATTGGTAAACGTGACGAGACTATACTATGCACTACCACAACTCGAGTTCGATTCCGCTTTTAATGTCAGTAATGCTTCTGTGCTGAGAAAACCACTCTTCCGACCGAGGAGCGGATGATGCAAGCCAGTGCTCGAGTGCTATTGGCAGCGCAGGTGTATGGTCACACGTAATAGGGAATCAAGGGAGCGTCATCCGGGGCAAAACTCGTGTCTGCGGCTAAGGCTGGCGCTTGTGACCGTTTCGGGCGAGGCGCACTCCCTTGCCCGACATCTTTCGTGGGAAAACTCAATTGATTGTTCCTAAAATCAACTTAAGCAACCTAGGCTGACTTAAATCTTATGCAAGAATGATTAAAGTGCCTACAAAAGGCATACATAAAATTAAGTTGTATAGGCTAAGAAAAGTTGTGTTTCAAGGAATCCCTTGGTTGTGATTATTAGTTAAGAAATTCTAAAGTCGATCCCACCAGTAGACGACGACGGTTTCCTCTTGGCCAGCTGTCAGTTAGCTTTACTGGAACACTCTTGTTGAAGTTGTGCTCGAGGCAATCTCCTTCGTTACCGGTAAAAACGTGCCAAGTTTTCTTTTATCATGCGACACATGTCGACAGAGTAGGAAAACATTGTTACAATCATATTCAAGTTATGAGCCAAGAAAACTCACAGTCTTATCATTAAATGATGCATATGTATATTTATGCACTTTGATGAGCTATAAAGTATATGATAGGCTAGAATTAAGGAAAGTATAGATAGATTACATAACCTGACTAGAACCAAAGTCAGCATTACGCAAGCCCATTATATGCTGTTTTATCAAGAAAATTCACTTAAACAACAGAATATGGCAAAGGTTGAAGTGTAAAGGATGAATAAAATTTACAGATGCCACCAAGACTTTCATTCCAGATGGAAGTACATATTGAAGAGATTCTTAGGTCAACGTCACCAGAATACGTTGGCTGATTAATGTTGTACTGCGGCCGTTTGGCATTGGTACGACGTTCAATTTGATGCAGTCCACGAGGCATCTTCGATCTCAGCAAAGACGTC